GTTTGGTGTTGCGATTGGTGCTGATTTCAGTGCGGACCAATCGCAGCGACGAACGCGTTCACAGTGACGATCGAGTAAATGTGAAATAAACTCACACTTGGGCCCCTGGTGTTCAGCCATTCTTTCGTCGCTGTTCACTGAGTGAGTGAGTTACCGGGGCCTCAATTTTGGTATTTTATGTTAACGCCAAGCCACTGTCTTTCCATTGACACGCTATTGAGATGCCACTGACATCGGTCAAAATATCGGTATTCTACTAACATAAATTGAAAGTCTCAATAGACTGTCGATATAGTAATATAGGTCATCAATGGTGATATCAACAACACTGCCATAACATGAAAATTAAATCATCATTTTCTTACAAATTAAAAATGTACCGTTTACCAAGCTATTACAAAGACATCGACGATATTTGTATCAGTGACAAGTCATTAAGAGGCCATTGGTCTTACATAGTAGAATAAGGATAGTGCAAAACTATTCCGACGACATTCCATCGACAGTCTATTGATACAATATTAAAATAGCAGAATTGAGGCCCAGAGCAAAACTCCTCTCCCCCCGTTTGTGCCTGGAGACTCATGAGTTGCAGATGTTCATGGGCGCGATAATGGCTTTCTATCAAGTAAAGACTCTGTTTTGTCTAAAAATTTTATCTATACTAATATTATAAAGCTGAAGAGTTTGTTTGTTTGTTTGTTTGTTTGAACGCGCTAATCTCAGGAACTACTGGTCCGATTTGAAAAATTCTTTCAGTGTTAGATAGCCCATTTATCGAGGAAGGCTATAGGCTATTTATCATCACGCTAAGACCAATAGGAGCGGAGCACCAATGAAGAATGTTTAAAAAACGGAGAAAATTTATTACTATTGAGAGACGCAGACGAAGTTGCGCTGGTCAGCTAGTTATTCATATAGTAGCTTCTACTTCTACGTCCGTGTGGTGACGGATTAAGGTCTTACGACACTCACGGGATGAATAGATGTGACACTCCGTATTCTTAATCCGTCACCACACAGACAATTATATTTTACGAGTATAATTAATTAATTATTAATATTTCTTTGACATGCTATTCCCTAAACATCTCGATAGATTTTCGCGTTTAAGGTGTCTTAATTGTGAGAGCGACGCTATGATGATGGTATATCATAATTTTAAAAATTAAAATGGCCGATTTTAGCGTCATTTCCTTCAAAACCTCAATAATTAAATTAATTTTGTAAATTTTAAGCACATATACAATTTTCAAGCTGTCGGGTTTTTTTTTAATACTGAGCTTGTTTATACTATGTATGTATTTAGAAATATACAAATACCTATGTTTATCAGCAATCTGATTACTCTAATTTATAATCAGGTGGCCATGTTTGAACTAGTTTGAAGTGTCTTAAGTTATTATAATGTTAGTATTGTCTACATTTAAGCAAGTGTCAATTTCATGTCATATTATAAGCAAAGTCTATAAAGTTAAAAATGCATTTTAAATCAAGTCAATGGCACCGCTGTCAGCTGTATAATATTATCTTAATTTATTAATTTAACGAATCAATTTTATAAATAAAGCAGATTACATCAGCATAGATTTATAAGTGGTCTATAAATGGCAAATTAAATCCATCTTGTATCACAAAAACTTTATAATCTTTAAGGTTATCAACACATTTATGATATTTCCTGTTTAAAACTACTGAATTGCTTAAGTATGTAATGTGTTTACATTAAACTAGTCGTACACTAAAGTTTCACCTGCTTTTATAGCCACTGCTCTGCTCTTGTTAATGATAGCGTGATGTTTGAAAGCTTACAACATCCTCAATGATTTTTCTTTCCAATGCAAAAAGGATTATTGAAATCTGACTAATAGTTCCAGTGATTAGTGCGTTTGAACAATCAAATAAGAAATCCTTGTTCACTTGAAGCATTTATTATTCATGTACACAAATTCAGGTCTTATAAAACTATAGTCTTTAAAAATAATTGCACTTATTACCTACTAGTAGGCCAAAACCTCTTTTCTAAGAAGAGGCCTATGTCCAGCAGTGGACTGTTAAATGCTGTTGATGTGATGTGATGCCTACTCAGACTTAATTTAATTTAATTTATTTCGTTTACATTTATCACGAGTCCTATTTCTAGGTTCATACCAGGAATATTAATCTGTTAAAAATTTACTCCTCAGCAATGCAACATATACTCACTCATGAGCAGGTTTTATGGAGCCAGCCATATGGCTTTCCACGCACACGCACAACTCGAGCTCAGCCGGCCGGCGAACAGCTCGTAAAAACTAAGCTTTAATGGCATCGAAACTCAAAATGTAGATGAACCGTAAATTGTACATATCCCGCATTATATGTTTAAGTGTTTTACTCGTTTTATAGGTTTAAATGCATTTGTGTTATGTTACTGGCGATAGATTGCATTTCAAACTTCACTATTGTAAATGCGGAAGTGGAATTGCACTGGGATTTAGATAGCCATAAAACGCAAAGCAGTAGTTCATCTATCATCATCATCAATAGCCTTTTATAGTTTACTGCTCGACATGGGCCTCTCCTTAGAAAGGAGACTACTATACCACTCTGGCCAGACGAGTTGGTAAAGGGTTTGTTTCAAGTTTTCCTTCTCTTTGCAGTGTTGTCCTGCGTAGCTTGCTCCCTTAGACGGCTCTTACGACACCCACGGGATGAATAGGGGTGGTGACACTCCGTATTAACTTTTTTTTAAGGAGAGGCCTATGTCCAGCAGTGGACTGATAAAGGCTGTTGATGTGATGATGTGGCATTGGAGTAATAAGTTACATCCAGATACAAAGGAAAGGTTTCCGTTCTTTGATTCAGCAGTTAGTATCACTATCCATTATACCAACAAGCCCGTCAGATTTTTATCTGTACATACGATGATATAATAATATATTATATACATACAAGCGTCTGGATTATCATAACCTGCTATGCTGGCATATATCATTTCATTAGAAACAACAATAATTCGTTCATTATGTAAATTAATTACAATATCTATCTTTAAAAGTCGCGTACGACATATTTTTTGTTAGATATTGGAGCAGGCGGATAGATTTTTGTATATTTAATTACAAATTATTGATTTCAGATACCCATAAATGTATATTTAATTGAAAAATATATTGATAGAGACATACATAACATATTAGAGCATGTAAAACACGTTGGTTGTAAAATTAAAGCGTTTAAAACAATAACAAAATCTTTTTTTGAATGATTTATAAATTCATTTGTCAGTGCAATTCGTTCGAAACTTCAGGAAAACAATGTGTGTATATTTAATCAACCTAATTATATATTTTGTATACTGTATTAAATTACTAGATCTGAGTGACTGATTATTCAACGCAGAGCCGCCAAGCCGCTCGGCCTACAAACTTGATATTTTGGCAGTTCATCATTTTTATGTTTTACCTAAGCATCCACTAAGAAAAGAAATTTGAGATTTGGGGTAAAAAAACAGAACGAGTGTATGAAAGTTCGTCATTTTCAAAGCTAGAAACACGAATTAAGAAATTAAAATGCGAGCGATGCCGCGGGCAATAGCCTGCACGTGTATAGTAAAGTTGTACATAGATAACGAAACACGCTTGAAACTTCCAAAATATAATAGTAACACAAACATTAGATCAAGGATTCTCAAAGTGGTCGATATCGACCCCTTGCGGTCGAAATCGGTTTCTCAAGGGTCGACATAAACGAAAACCTATTTTGGGCGTTGACGAGGTCTAAAAATCGACCCCCATTAATTAACAAAAGCTCTTATTTGGAACTTTCAAGATACTATACAAGTTGTGTTACGTAAGACTGACTTGTATGTCTAATTTTTTAAAACCAACGGCAAAGTTTTTAAAGTAATAGGAAAAAAACCAGAGATAGGATTTTTAAAGTAATTTGGTTATGGTGGTTTGAGGTATCAGTTTATTTTGGTCTCTTGCCCAAAATGGTTTGGGAATCCCTACTTCTACTTAATCTTATTGTTCAACAGTTACAATTCTATTATTTTTAATTCAAAAACAATAAAACAAGACCACGAGTACTGTTCTTCGTAATTTGCATTTAAATTGACAAAATAAAAGTCGATTAGAAATCCTCAAACCACATTTTAAACATCAAAAACCCATTTGACCAACAATCTACTCATCCTTTTTACCTGTGTCTAGTACCTGACCCTTCAAAAGTAAGGGAGGCTTTTAACAAAGGCAACACTCCGACTAAGTAATAATATTATTACAGGCAAAATTGTTTATTTTGTCGCTCTGAGCAAATACTTCGCGGTATTTTAGTATTTTTGATAGTTTAGTCTCCACTGTTGTTCTTATTTTTAGTTAATTGTGTTAGTATTTAGTCTATTTTTGTTTGAGTCCTTATTCAGACACAAAAAGAAAAAGCATTGCTCTTTTGGCGAATGAGAATTGTCAAAGATAAAGCAAAATAAAGTTATGATGGGCTTTCGAATGGACAATGTCGGGTACAGGGAACATCTACCGTGAGGCCGGTCATTTGCTTCCCTCAACTTGGTCGATGGAAAATAGTTCAAGAATACCAGTATTTTATCTCGACTATTACTGAGATAACTGAACATAATTGATATATTTTCTATTTTTATAATTATTTTTTATTAACGAGTTTCCTTTCAAATTACTGGTTTGTATAGTTTTTCTAACATTGCCAGAGATTAGTTCATATCATCATGTTTATAATAAACAATTAACATTTATATTTATATTAATGACAAACAAGGTTATATTAGTGGTTATCATAGACTATGTAGACTTTATCTACATTTGTTTTCCGTTGTTTGTTGCCAACGTTATTGCCTACGTATGGGAATAGGCATACTAATAATTGTGTTTATGTTTATGGTGTTAGATTGTTTAGTCTGTCTGAAGCAATTTAAATAAACTGATTACATGTCTTCCAGGTGCAAGTGACAATGTGTGAGCGGTGAGTGAGAAGAACGCGCGATGTTGCGCGTGATCACCTGTCTCCTGGTCGCCACCGCGGCTGCGGAGCACGTGCGAGAGTTCACTGTCAGAGAGAACGCCCGCGCATCAACCCTCGTTGGACATCTAGGCGACGAACTCCCTGATGCTGCGCCACCTTATACCATCGTCCCTGTCCCTGGCAGCGCCGTTAACGACGACCTTAGAATAGACCCTCACACGGGTGAAATTAGAACTAGATTGCCTCTAGATAGAGAGAACCGAGACCACTACGCATTGGTCGCTATCCCCGCCAGCGGAGACAATATCCGTGTTGTAGTTCGCGTACTGGATGAGAACGACAATGCTCCCACCTTCCCTACGCCTGTAATGAACGTTGAGTTTTCTGAGAACACTCCCAGAGACGTTAAAAGAAAACTAAACCCTGCCAAAGATCAGGATCTAGGTGCGTTCAATACGCAAAGATACAATATTGTATCTGGAAATACTGATAATGCATTCAGACTGTCTTCTCATAGGGAAAGAGACGGGGTTCTTTATTTGGACCTTCAGATTAATGGCTTCCTCGACAGGGAGACGACTGACCATTATCAGTTAGTTATAGAAGCATTAGACGGTGGTACGCCACCACTTAGAGGTACTATGACTGTGAATATTACAATTTTAGATGTGAATGATAATCCTCCAGTGTTTGCTGAAAGTGTTTACTCTGCTACTATTCCGGAAAATGCCACTGTTGGCACTCCAGTTCTTAAAGTGTCTGCAACCGATTTAGACACTGGTGAAAACGGTTTGATAGAATATTCAATTAATAGAAGACAGAGTGATAAAGAAAATATGTTTAAAATCGATCCAGAAACTGGTGAAATCATTGTAAATAAAGCGTTAGATTTTGAAACTAAAGAGTTACACGAGCTAGTCGTTGTAGCAAGGGACAAAGGAGCACAGCCCTTAGAAACAACTGCTTTTGTGTCAATAAGGGTAACTGATGTAAACGATAACCAGCCTACAATAGACGTTATATTTTTAAGTGACGATGCAACCCCAAAGATATCAGAGTCAGCGCAGTTAGACGAGTTCGTGGCTCGAATATCGGTCCACGATCCGGATTCGAAAACTGAATACGCGAACGTAAACGTTACATTGAGTGGCGGCGACGGGCATTTCGACTTGCGGACTCACGACAACATAATTTATTTGGTGGTTGTCGCGTTACCATTGGATCGTGAGGCTCGTTCATCTTATACCTTGAACGTGGTAGCTACTGATAAAGGGTCGCCGCCTCTTCACGCGTCTAGGATTATTAGTCTGCGGGTAACTGACGTTAATGATAATGCGCCTGTTTTTGCTGAGTCCGAGTATAAAGCTAGTGTTCCTGAGGCTGCTGCACCTGGTACTCCAGTTGTACAAGTGTCTGCAATCGATGCTGACGAAGGAGACAACTCCGAAATACGTTATTCTTTACTACCGACTCCTCAGTCAGACTGGTTTGCGATTGACGAGCGGTCTGGGTTAGTGACGACTAAAACTAGGGTTGATTGCGAGACGAATCCTATGCCTCGTCTAACGGTTGTGGCTCAGGATCGGGGCAACCCTCCGATGTCGACAACAGTGCCTTTAATAGTGACAGTGTTAGATGTGAACGACAACGAGCCGATCTTCGACCAGTCTTTCTACAACGTCACCGTGTCGGAGAGTGAAGCCGTCGGCAGCTGCATTTTAAAGGTAAGGTTTTTTATTTTTTAACAGAATCGATATTCGAAATGTTTATCATTTTGATTATCGATTCTGTCTTCGTCGTCTTTTATTATTTATTCTACGTTAAAACTTCTATATATCGAAGTAAAAGTTTTTAATATTAAACTGTTAAAATAAAAATAAAATATTATAGTTTTTTTAATTGCATCAAGTAGTTTTAAGATAAGGTTAAAAAGAATAGCCTGTTTGACCACTTAAGGAAAGGAAACCGAAAAAATCTTGATTTAGATCACAAAGCTAAACTCACGAGAGAATGTTTTCATTTAATGAATATGAAACAACGCAATAAAACATATATATGTCTAATAGTATAACAAGATATGTCTTGCCGTCTGAATTCTCACAGCATCCAACATTACTAAACTCTTGTGACGAGCTAAACCACAAATCAAAACTAAACCCCACAAGTGAAAGTGTTTCGCACAGCATTTTGCCAGAAGTAAACTACAGCACTGGCATTATCCGCCAGTGAAATGCCAAATGCCAGCTGATGATTCCATATGATTTACCACTTTACTACCCGTATCTGTTAAGTCGGACATATGAATACATATTACAGACTATTTTGGAGAGCCGTTTTAGAAAATTGAAGCTCTTTTAATGGGATTGAATGTTTGATAGCTGGGTCTAGTGTGATATGAAAGTTTAACTAAAACACTGCGTCGTGGATTGTAAAATGCTTGATAGTAACATGTTTGTGGTTATAATTTATGGAAAATCGATTTGAGAACCATGTACGTCGTATAAATCGAATTCAAGGGTTTTCGTAATAATTATTAGTTATTGTTTGCATTTCACAATTAATGTACACACATATAGGTACAAATAGGTTTTATTGAGGCTAATAGCTTAATAGTTCTGTGTAATAGTATCACTACATAATTGATTAAAAATATTTAACAAATTGTTGAATCATCATTTACGAAATAAGTCTCACTTCTGAGCTTAATTTCACGTGTTCAATAATTAGATGTAAAAAATAATCACAAAAAACGTTGCAATATTTTTTTTTTTAGGTTCTTAAACAAAAAGCGACACAGATTAGTAATACCCACTCGAAACTCTACGAAACGACTTTTTAAAATGTCAATTCGTTGCTTAAAAGCTACATCTAAGTATGTAATCCAAATTTTGGTCACAATAAAATAATATAATAACATAATATTTCACACATTTCACACACGGCCGTCTCACGTCTGATCTCAAACTAAGCAGAGTCTGTACTATGGTAACCAGACTGCTGATAAACATACTTATATATTTCTAAATACACACAGATATATACATACATATGCATAAATACAAGTACACCCATAATGTATCAGGTATCACCGCATAAGGACTTATAATGATCGCAATACAAAATAAAAGCGCATTAATATATATTTTTAAGTTTACTTGACCGGAGTGAACCCACGGCTTTACAGAAAACCAGTGTTAAGTAATTATTTAGTTGTTTAATTTGAAGGGGGAGGGCGGTAAGGTGTCATATTTGAAGGAAGATACGCTATATTCGCATAAAATATTTGTTCCGTAATCGTACATTACATCTATTATTGCATTTTAGAACAAAACATACACTTACCTGTGGTATGATATTGCTTTATCTTTATTTACCTTTTTGTCGTAATTTATGCACACGATAGGGCATTTCATGAACTTTTTCTACTTAACTAGTACGCGCGCTCGCTTGCAGTGGTCCTAATTAGGATCAATTCGCAGCATGCGTTTTGTGCGTTGGTAGCGTATCTACCTTTTGTTTGTTTATAATATCAGGTAAGTTAAGTTGCAGGTATCCATAGGCGGCGGTAGTCACTTACCATCAGGTGACCAGAGTGCTTGTTTGTCCCCAATGCCATAAAAAAAGGTCAACACATGGTTGCATGACGTATTAATCAAAATACATATGCAAATGTCAAATTATTAGTATTATATAATCATCAGTCACTGTATTAGACGATAGGTTATCTGTCTGTCACAATCTTGATTATATTAAAACTCAGTAAAACCTGCTGTGTAATAGAAGTCTCAGGCTTCAGTTGGCCATCACTTAGAACTCTAAAAGGATGGATATATCGGTACGTATATCTTACAGCACTCGACTAAATGTATGCAAAGTATAAATGCATTTTAAAAGCAGTTTCCATTCATTTTAAACGTTTTTTTCTTTGTTGTTAATGCGGCGCGGACGGTTTTATATTACTCTTTCTATGTTAACATCCCATTTACTTGCTTAAGTGACTATAAAATTGTAGAATTGCATTATTATATGACCGTTAACTAGATATCACATTTCAACTGAACTTCGTTAATTTCCAAAGTCGTTATCTCAAAAAAATATGAATACTACGTACAAAAATCGAACGTTAAATACAACGTTAACTCGGTACCAATTAGTTATAACGGACAGATCAATTCCGTTTATCTCAGTTAGCCACACCCGCGTTTGACGAATATGTCGAGTAAAGAAAAAAAAAACTGAATTTTCATTAACTCTTATCTTGAAAAAGGTTGGCTCGTAACTTACACGAGTTAATTTCTTTTAATATATTCCGTGTATAGGTACTTATAAGTGGCAGTACATAAATCTATCTCGTCGAGTGATGTGAGTTTGGGCGTACGCCCGCGCCGAATCGCGAATTGCGATCTAAATTGAAAATTAAACAGTGGAGTTCGAAATTGTTCGCTCCCGGGACTCAGGAATGGGGTATAAAGCATTCTTTGGAATAGGCATAGGTTTTAAAGTAGGATTGGGTTCATAAAAACATTTACTAGGCTAATGAGTTAATTTTCTTTTTTTAAATAACGTGCATTGACAATTTGTAATGTTATTTTAGATTTCTTGTAGATACAAGTACAATACTACATAAGTTGACAAATAAGATTTACCTGTATGTACCATCAGTAGAAGGTAAAACAACTCAATTAAATATTAAATGTTAGTCTTTAGACTATGAATTCAAAGTACTGAATGCACAATTGAATTGTTAGATTTTTCGTCACCTATAGCACCGTCACGATCTCACGACTCCACCGATTGTTATTTTGTTATTCGCATAAAGTTCTGTGTTTCGCTTTTAATAGAGGTTAAGTACTGCAAAATACATACAAATGAACTTTGACTTGATGTCTTTGCGTCAGAATTAAAAAAACTTTTACTTTATTTTCAAAGGTGTGTCAGAAAAAAGGTGGTAAAAGTAGCCTAAATATTTTGTGGAAGGTATTTTAATATTTATATGTACAACTGGATATATTGATTTCACACACACATTTTATAACAAGACGGACAATTTTAATCTTGGTATATTTTTTGTTGTTGTTATTTTAATCTTAATTTTTTCTATTTTAATTTCTCGAATTGTAATACCAAATTATGTAAGTTTTATTAAGGAATAAACAAGGCTTTATTATTATTATTATTATATTTTTTGTTGATTGTGTGTTGTATATCACAGATTATGATGCAATATTTTGAATATTCAAAATAGCTAATTAGCATAAAAATTCTTATCATTATTAAATGAAGAATAATTCAAAAAAAAGGTTTTGTAAATAAAATTATGTTATATTTTTTGCTATTAAATAACTAAATAACTTAGTGTCTAATAGTTATGTGATTATCTATATTCAGCATTAATACTTAAAACGTAATGGATCTCTATAAAACGTTCGGGGTAAAACTTAAATAGTTGCTAAACAGTCGAGGACAAGTTCTCTTATGGTTCTCAGTCACGCGACACCGCTAATTATGTAACAGAATTAATTTATTACCCCGAAGTTCTAAATTAAACACATCCAGTCTAGTTTAGTTTGGAGTCAATGGCATTTGGCCGAATGGTGAATTTCTAGATTCAAAAAGTGGCGCGCATATTTGACAGTTATTTTTTTAAATCAATTTTCTAACGTTTATAAAATTATATATAGTATTAGTATTACAGTATTTATTTTACTATAGAAAGATACCAGAAATAATTATAATGACATGATAAATATAATAATATTAGACGATAAAATGATTTAATTATAATTGCAGATTTTACCGTTAAGCTATAAACTGTTTGTGTTCAATTGTCATAAAAGAACAGTTTGGGTAATGGGCGGTAGTTTTATTAGCCAATTTTATTCGAAATAGTGCGGAGAAGGCTGTGTGCTGTGTATTCGTAGCAATTAATTTAACATTCAACTATTAGAGTAAACATAAGTGCTACTACACAAACGTAGTGTTCATTTTCTCTTTCGATATCAACGACCATAGAGAGCAGTTAATTAACACGCAAACGCACCCAAACATGACATTGGTTACGTAAAAGTTAAAAGAAATCATTGCAGATTAATGTTTTAATAATAACTAGAATTTTAATGTTCATTTCGACGTTCTAGTGTGGTAAAATAATTATTAAAGCGTTTCAATTCGCATGCAACAGATCAACTAATAATTACATATGACTGTTCAAAGATATGTTAATCTTAGTTCATAGTAGCATAAATAATATACATATACACACGATCAAAATTGATAGTTCGAATTTAGACATTTAATGTACCCTACTAGTACACTTATACTACAATGGATGTAAGTATGGATATGACCAAGAATTTTCTTACATATGTCATTTTAGTTTTACCACCGATTTCAGTAGGGTCAGCAAGTATAGGTAGAAAGGATGCAACGGCAAGGGTTAACAATAAACATCAAATAAAAGTTACATCCAAAAAATCTTATCTAAATGAGTATTGGAGTCGGTGAATAAAAATTTATTTAAATGGTTCAGGTAAAAAGTACATTTGATAGTTATTTTAAGAAGGTTTAATGGCATGAAGTAATACTCAACGTTTTGCGTGTGGTCAATTCGTGGATATGTGGATAATGTTAAAATGAATATTCATGTAGACTCAACTATTTGAGTTTTTACAGAGGTAAAGTTGCAATAATTAAAAATTTTTTTAAAGCAATTACTTGATCCAATGATGGGTACCGTTATAGAATAAGCGAATAACATATTAGCAAGTATTTTTATATATTTTAATTATAATAGTACTACATTGAGTGCCATTGCAAAAATAATTAAAACATGCTACGGGACTTAATACAAATTGTGCAGTACGAAGAGTTTTATAGTAAATTTAATCAAGAAAAGACCCTCTTTGTCTTATTATTCTAAAATATTTACGACATTGTCACTACTTTATGACGTTATCGTTGTAAACTGAGTATTTTATCACATAATTGACACTAGAACCCTTTTTTTTTTTTTTTTTTTTTTTTTTTTTTCCGTGCGGAAATCCCCTCGGATACCACCTGTCGGTGGCATGTCGGACACGAACCGACTAAAACCGCACGCCCTTCGCCGGGTACTAATAGCCGGGAACCAGGTATACCCTAGAAAGGAAGGCCCTGGTGCCCCGACATACCTCGGGTCATCTACAGACGAGTAGACGACCCCCGCCCCGTGTGGGAACCCCATGTTCCCT